AGGTATCGGCCGAGCTTGGCATCGGCGAGAAAACCTCCGAACAAAGCAAGAAGGTTGAGAGTGCCCATGAAATTGGTGACGATGTTAGCCGAGGCCGAGTTCGAGAGATGCATATCCCCGACCAAGTACGTCACCAGGTTCATCGATATCCCCATTACGCAAACTCTCTCGGACAATTCGGTCCCCAAGATTAGGCCAGCGCCGAGCCAACCTCCTGTCTTCGATCTATCAGCAGGGTTTCCTTTGAAATCATAGACGGAGACGGCGCCGTCGCTGCTATCATCATCACCAACATTCCCTTTGGCGTAAACCTGCGTACACGTGAACAACAACAACGAGAAGTATTAATGCGTATGTATTTTTGAATGAAAGCTATAAGTATACAGAGGTTGCTCACAAAAGTACCATGGTTTTGGCCTAGGGAGAGCTAGCTAGATGAGAATTTGTGAATGAGTGAGAGGGGGTGCGTGATGATTTTAAAGGCGTAGAGATAGAAAGTGGGGGAGAGCATATCGTCCACATCTTGGGCGGTGATGCATTTGTGGACGAATCTAGGTTTGAGGAGTTGGATTCGAATTTTGGAGGAGTGAGAAGTAATAGCCTAATAGGGGAGGAATTTCCTATAGAGGGGCCCCTATAGAAATCAGATGAGGAGGAGGGGGGAAACGGTAAATATTTGCTGTTAATTTCAAATCAGTGTAAATAGCATACAAAATTAGCGCAAACGATTACATTAATACTGTTGTAATCTCGTTGTTGTATCTACATACATCACATATCGAAAGTAAGAATCAAACATAAAATGTAAATGTAAATAGACAATAGAAGAGATAAGGAGAAAGTGATCATCTCATTTTATTCATCCTCATTTCACCATACATTTTGTCTTCCATGGATTACATTATATAGATGTAAAAGAGAATACTAAAAGTCACAAGTAGGTGAAGAGTCTTCTTCTAGTAATGTCCACATTCATTGTATTTATATTTACAACACTCCCCCTTGGACATTACTACATGATGTCAATGCCTCGTTAAAAACCTCGCTAGAAAAACCCAGTGGGATAAAAACTAGTCGAGGAAAAGAGTACACGACATTAGTAGATTCTTGTTGCATTAGTTGCCTCATTAAAAACCTTTAACTAAGAAAACCCTGTGGGACAAAACTTAGTAAAGGGAAAAAGAGTACAACTATAGATCTTCGGGATCCAAAACTTGTGTTGCATTAGTTACCTTATTAAAAACCTTTAGCTAAGAAAACCCTGTGGGACAAAACTTAGCAAAAGGAAAAAAAAGTACAACTATAGTCCTTCAAGGCATAATCTTCGGGATTACGTTGAAAATTCGCTCCCCCTGATGATGACAATCTTCTGACTTTATGCTAAGAAAAACCCAGTTTATGATAATAGATCTTCAGGGCCCAATCTTCAGGATTGTTCTTTAAGAATTTGCTCCCCCTAAAGAAGATAGTCTTTCAAGTCTATGCATATTGTGAATATATTTCTCATAAGTTAACGTAGGCAGAGACTTAGTGAACAAATCTGCAAGATTGTCACTTGAGCGAACTTTTTCGATGGTGATTTCGCCATTCTTTTGGAGCTCATGTGGATAAAAAAATTTTGGCGTAATATGTTCTGTCATGGTTCCTTTTACATATCCACTGCTCATTTGTGCAACACAAGCTACATTGTCCTCATAAAGGACAGTGGGGGGGATATCATCTTTCGCTAGACCACACGCACACGAGCCACAAATATGTCGTATCAACGATCTTAATCATACATATTCTCGTGAGGTCTCATATAAAGCGGTAATCTCTGAGTGGTTAGACGAAGTAGTAACCATGGTCTGCTTAACAGACCTCTAAGAAATGACAGTACCACCACAGAGAAAAACATAACCAGTCTGGGATTTGATAATATGGGGATCAGTCATATAACCAATATCAGAATAGCCCACCAATGTCATATTTCAATTTCTTTTATAGAATAAACAAAGATCTCTTGAAGATACCAGAGGATATATTTAATATTATTTTAATATCTCCTTCCAGGAGATGCACTAATTCTTGCTAGCAAGTGTAACACAAATTTCAATATCAGGCATGATGCAATTTGTAAGATAAATAAGTGCTTCAATAGCGCGCTCAAATACGGGACTTCAGGTCCTAAAATATCCTCGTTATCTTCTTTAGATTTGTATGAGTCTTTATCCACTTCAAGGGATTTAATAACCATTGGTATGCTAAGTTCATGAGATTTATCCATATAAAATCTTTCCAAAACCTTTTTCACATAGGTTGAATGGTGTAGAAAAATTCCTTCTGGGAAAATGCTCGATCTGCAGGCCGAGACAAAACTTGGTTTTTCCCAAGTCTTTCATTTCAAACTCCGTCTTTAGGCATGAGCTAGCTTTTGTAAGCTCCTTGTGCATTCCAATAACATTTATATCATCAATATAGACTGATATAATACAAAAGCTATTTATAAACACACAAGGGCAAACATCATTATTTGCATATCTCCTCTTCAGGAGGAACTTACTCAGTCGGTTATACCACGTTCTACCCGACTGTTTCAAGTCGTATAACGACCTTGATAATTTAATGATATACATGTTGCGATTCTTGTTTTCTCTTAATTCAGAAATTGTAAGTCCATCAGTGACTTTCATATAAAAATATTAGCGTCTAATGACTCATATAAAAATGTGGTCATGACGTACATATACTGCATATATAAATTCATAGTTTCTGTCATATGTATTAACTTGCGGAACGTAATACAATCACTAATAGGAGAATATTTTACATCTAAATCGATGTCGGGTCTCTGCGTGAACCCATTGAGCTATGAATCTCGCTTTATATCTCACCACCTTACAATTCTCATTTATTTTTCTTACGAAGACCCATATATATATCCTACAGGGATATATGAACTACAAGTTCAAAATACTTTAGCGAGTTCAGCTCAGCCTCAATTGCCACTTTCCATCTCACCTAGTCCGAATGCTTCAAGCACTCTACTACCGACTTAGGTTCTGTATCCAGATTATTTTCGGAGATAGTAAGAGCAACTGTAGAGACAACTATGTTGTCGACAACTTTTATATTTCTATTATATATTTCTCCTTTTTTCACAAATTCGTGGCCACTTTAATTCTTATTTTATGTCAACCAAATCCTCGCCATTTCCCTTAACGTTTGGATTTGGTCATTCCGCATCTCCAGTATTGTGATTATCTAGTGCACGTGTAATTTACTGGAGATTCCATCTTCAGGATGAACCTCTTCTGGAGGTTATGAGAATGACTGTCTTTATATATATATAATTTAGTTTGCCGCGGACTTTTATCTTTTACAGTAAAATGTTTTATATGCTTCTGGCACAATATGCTTCTGGCATACCAAATCATCAATGATATACTCAACATGAATATGGGGCTTAGTCACTCTTTTCTTGGCAGATTATCATGTGAACTTCTGGTTCAGTTTGACTAGTACGTGGATATAAATATTGAAGATCTTTTTCACCAATGGAATTTCTTGACATTATTTTGTATTTTGGGCACTAATCTCCCCCTAATGTCGAGAATTGATCTTCAATTAAAATGCAGTCAGCGTACAAAATTATAAATTGATCCCCTAACATGGGCCATAGGTACTAAATTATTGACGGAGTTTCATAAATAATGTATGTACCTTCACCAAGGTCCCATAGAGGTACGCTATGGTGGTGATATAGAAACATGGACTGCAAATAAAGAACACGCAGATGGGAAATGTTTCGCTTCTTCACCACGTATTAGATAAAGGGGGAAAAATTGTGATATGCAGTTGGTCGGATTTGGTTTGAATGCCCCATTTAATTTAAGGAAATCCGACAAATCATATTTTGCCCAAGATGACCCAATCACTCATGTCAGAATTTAAAAGAATTTGGGTCCCTAAATCTCAAACTCATCGCAACATGTTGTATTTTAGGTCAAACAAATTCTAAAATATACACATATGAATAAAAACCACATAGGTTTATAAGAGTTTAAAGCAAAAATCAAGATAAATTAAAATTGTCTGATAAATGTATATAATCCAAATATAGAAAAATCAAATAGTTTACCTTGACCACCTCAATAAGATCTACTACCTCCCCCTCGTCCGAGCTTATGAATATTAATTTGAATTATGACATGTGCTTCAGGCACTATGAATGAACCAATTAAACTTGCATTATGGTTTCTCACAACAGCTGGTTGTGTTTTTAACAACTACTAATACAAGGATTAGTTCATAATGCTTTTAGTTGTACTATTGTAAGAGTACAAGGTTACTTGTTGAATTGTATTCAGTCGAGGGTTTAAAATCCAAAAATGGCTACAGGATAAGATCTCCTACTATGTTCATAGCCTCCCCCTTGTCGACGCGTATAAGTAATTTTCTGAATTGTAGCATGTGCTACAAACACAACTCGTAAGTCAACTAGTCTGACATTGTGATTTGATTGTGTTTCTCTGCGACTACTAATCAATTCAGAATGCTAAGTGCAATTCTTGGTCATGTACTGCTGCTGGAGTACAATATTATTTGCGTGGAATAGGGAAACAAATTTTTCGATCAGTTCTGCTTATAGAGTTTCAGCTGCTAGATAATTTGGTACAGAGCTGAATCATATTTAGTCATGTATTTGAAATCCAAAAAATTCTGGTTCAGTCTGCCAGTTGCGTTTGAGGGAATTGGTTTTCATAGATCAAAGCGATCCTTCAGGGATTGCCCAGAAAAGTGAATACTTTTCACTGAGGTATTAATTTTTCACGTCTTAATTGATAGAGAGAAAATTTAAAGTGTTTGTCTTCTGGACAAAGATACTTAAAGAATCAAGAGATATAATCGTGCAAAAATCACAGGTGTGTCTAGAAAAAAAATTGAATGTTCGATGCCAAGGATAAGTAATAATTACTATCATATATCACACATAATCATCAAAATCAGCAAGCTCCTTTTTCTAAAGATTTTCTTAAAGGTTATCTTTCAAAATATTTGCTTCTGGCAAACTAGGCTGATATTAACATTCACACAAAATTTTAAATGCTCGGACGATCAATGACCATCGCAAATTCAAGCAAAATAAAATATTTAAAGCAAAAGCATCAAATTGATATATTATGACAATTTTTCATGATTGATAAATATTTAAAGCAAAAGCATCAAATTGATATATTATGACAATTTTTCATGATTGATGCTCTGTATGAACTTCTGCATATAATCATTTGACAATTTTTCATGATTGATGCTCTGTATGAACTTCTGCATATAATCATTTGTCTTTTGGTAAAAGGTCTCTTTCTTTGTAAATCTAACATACACAATCAATGATCCATATAGTAAAACATTATATCAATACTACATGTCTATGACAGAGGAGATACATATCATATGATTTATATACAGACTCATGGATTCATCAAAAGAATAAAGAAACTTATTAGTGACAACTAGTTGTGTGCATGTGTGTATTTTCCTTAGATTATATCTATATATAAGGTAG